TCACATGATCCCCTTAAACGCGATGAGGAAAACACAAGATGTCCCAAGGGCCTAAAAGCCTCTGCACACATACTCCTAAGTATGGTCCTCTTCAACCCAATGAGGGAAAACCCTAAACCCTAAACTCTAAACCCTCAACCCTAAACCCTAAACGCTAGCGCAAGTCCTAAGCCCAACAGCGTGCTAAGCTGCTGCGATGATTTTGTGGCTACTGTGCCTCGTGTCTCCAGGTCCACGGACTTCTTCCAGACCTCTTCGCGCTGCATTTTGGCCGTCCTCTCAACTGCCTGAAAAGCAGCAATTTGGGGCTAAGGGATTGATACTTTGGGGTTCTTGAGAAACAGGCTTTGGCGTCTCCAAACGTAGATTGCCAGAAGGCTGTGTGGAGTTCAGGAAGGATGACCCATGTTAAAAGCTTGAAGTATTCAACCCTGGCGGCAGCCCTCCAATATCAAAATGCCACGGACTTGTCATGTCGTGCCCCACTGCATGGCACCTCATAGTTTGGCCCTGCACCCGTGCCGAAAAAAGAGCCAACGGCTCACCTTTCTGTGCATCCTCGGAACTGAACTAGTAAGCCTGGACTCCTCCTTAACTTCCTCAACTAAGGCATTCCCACACAACGCTCCTGCACTTCTGTCCCCTCAAGCATGGCCGAAGGAAACCTGGGAAGCCGCACCCCTGACGACGCCACAGCTTGCACAGCTACTAAGCGCAAACACGTCGATGCCCCCCCCCCCCCCCGAGCTCTATTCCCGAAGCTTACAGCCCCCTCCGAAGCATCAAACCCCGAACCTGTAAACCCTGAAGAAACCCTTCAACACAAACAAGCACATAAACCTACGTACACCCAGCCCCGAGAAGGAAACACCATTTCCCATAAAGAAATCCGTGGGGAGGCCCCAAACACAATCAGAGGGCTCCATTTTAATGGGTTCTACGAGTACCTCCTAATTTGTCCTGAAGGTCCATGGCCTCTTGCGCGGCGCGGCCCTCCACCTGCTCAATCTCCTGCGAGCTGCAGCCGAACTTCTGCAGCTTCTCCTTCCTGCGGTTTAGGATTGAGGGGGGCACTGAATCGCAAAAGTGAGGATTGAGGGGCTTTCGGGTTTCTAGAGGGCTTTTGGGGGAGATTGGTGGCTTGGGGGTTTATGGGATTTGTTGAGGGTCTGCGGCGATGAAGGCTCGGCTTTGGGAGCTCTGTTAGGGTTCAAGGTCTGGGCCTTAAGCGTCCCCTAGGGCCACCCAGGACCTCTATCCCAAAGCTTGAGAAATTCCTCTAGAGTTTGGGGTCTTGGGGACCTCTTGTGAGCCTGTTGGGGCGCCCCACCCTAAACCCTAATTAAACCCTAAACCCTAAACTCTGGATCCAAGTTTTGGGGTTTCAGGTTCCTCGAGGAGCCTGAGATGAATCGATGGAATGTAGGGGATATGCGGAGTAACGCAGAAAGAAAGGTGAAAGACCACTGACTCGACTGCTAAGCTAAGGTTGAAGGCTCAGGGAATGCAGTTTAGTGTTTCTGCGAACGGCCTGGAAAGGTCCGATACCTGAGATCTAGGAAATATGCCCTACAGGCTCAACAATCCGCAACAACCATACCACATCGATGGTTCGGACCAGATACCCCGGAATTAGAGTCCTTAGGGCCGCAGGGTACAAGTGGGGAGGCGCATCAAGGCGAAACCACCCAACACTTTCCCTGCCCCCCGCGAAGTCTCTCCATTCTGGGCTCCCATTACACCTGGTGATCGGTTTGAAAGCTGCATGCTGCCGAGAGGCTCGACCTGTTTGAGGCTGCCTTCCAGGAGCATGCCTGGGCAGCAATGTATTGTTTTTGCTTGTTTCTATATGTATGCATATATATATATGTACAGATCTCTCTCTCTCATATATATACATATATATATATCAACAAATAGGTGAACAAATGCGTATACTAACATTGCTGCAGACTGTGAGGTGCATTCACTGGTACTTTCATGCGATCCGAAACAAAAGTACCAGTGCGGGCATCAAGCGAACGAGAACAGTGATATTCAAGCCCACCCAAGCTTAAGGTTTAGGGTTTAGGGTTTCGGGTTCCGGGTTTAGGCCTAACAAGCTTGCCTGCAAGGGCATTGCTTAGATGTGGAGATTGGAAAGCAAACGATCTGCAAGACATCTGCTTTAAAAAAGCACGGCCCCCAAGACGGGAAAACTCGTCTGAGAATGTTTTGCAGAGTTTTGGGGCGCAACTCAAACATGACAACGCCGTCTTCAGGATCGCGAGCGAATGGGCGCGCTTTTCAGATGTTTCCACAAGCTAAGCTTCTTTCAAGATGAGAACCTAGCGCGGCAACAGCAAGCAAGCCTCTGAATTGCAGAGTGCAATGAAGGGGAGGGCCCCGAAAGCCCTAAAATCTGGACCCTTCATCTAGGGACCTTAAATCTAGGGACCCCAAATCTTGAAAATCCAGGTACCCCGAATTCAGCGACCTTAAAACTAGGGAGGGTTTAGGGTTTAGGGTTTAGAGTTTAGGGATTCTAAATCTAAAGACCCTAAGAGGGTTGGGCGACCCCCCCGCCTTCCACAGAGCCAGCGAGATCGAGCTGAGTGAAAATCTTCTTCGCCTCCTGCCGGCGGTGAGCCCCGAAGCCTAGGAAGCTTCGAAGTGCCCCTCAAACCTCAAGGTTTAGGGTTTAGGGTTTGGGGTTTGGGGTTTGGGATTTGGGGTTTGGGGTTTGGGGTTTGGGGCTTAGGGTTTAGGCTTGGGGTTCATCTAGGGTTTAGGCTGACTTCCTTTCCGAATTGGGGAAAGGGCTGGTTTCTTGGGCTGAAAAGAAGCGGGTGCCGCATAGCCTGCTTGGAGGTTCTGGGGTACGGTAGCTACATTAAGGCCGTGAGTAAAGCCATTGTGTTTCAAAACCTCCCGACGTGAACTCTCTCTCTCTCATCGAACCCTACACCCTAAATCTTTCCCTAAACCTTTCCCTAAACCCTGAACCCTAAACCCTGAAGCCTAAACTTTAAACAACTCATCCTGCGCAAGTAAGCGGTCCTGTAGCGCCTCGAGAGCTTTGTCGTCCTCCTTCTTGCGCCTGTCTTTGATTTTCAAAAAACCTTACTTGGGGTTTAATTAAAGTTTAGGCGGTTTAGGGATTAGGGTTTCGGGTTAGTGGTTCGTAGCAGGGATTTGAGAATTAGGCTCCGAAGCTTATCCCTTGAAGTGTCATATGGGGGGAGAGGGAGATTATAAGGCTCCCAGTGCTTTATACTCTAAACCCTAAACCCTAAACCCTAAACCCTAAGACCCAGAACCTCAAAGCGGCTAAGCGCGTTTGGAGCCCCAATGCCTTAGGGTTATGGATGTTGTGGTCTACAGATATTTTGGGCAGGGCTTAGGGCTTGCGTTGGAGTTCAGGGTGTATATACACGCCTGAATCTGTGCGTAGCTATAACATGCCCCCTTTCTATGTAGATAGATATATAGATAGGTAGATAGGTCTATAGGTGTAGATAGGTGGATAGGTAGATAGGCAGACAGGTAGATAGGTAGATATTCATAGGTAGATAGGTAGATAGGTAGGTAGGTAGATAGGTAGATACGTAGATAGGTAGATAGGTAGATAGGTAGATAGGCAGATAGGTAGATAGGTAGATAGGTAGAGGTAGATATAGATAGATACATGTTTTTATACGGTTTAAGGCTTCATTGGGTTTCAAGGTGTAAGGTTGGAAAGGGTCTAGGGTTTGTGTGGGGTTGTGTAGGGGTTGAAGAGCGTTTGGGCCCGAAGGGCACCAAAGCTCCAGGGTGTAAAGGTTTAGGGATTCAGGGCCCAAGGGATGCAAGTCCTAAACCCTAAACCCTAAGCCCTAAACCCTAAACCCTAAACCCTAAACCCTTTCAACTACACCACTCTGATACTTGGACTGCCACGGGGCTGTGCTGCAGGAGCATGATCCTCTACGTTTTCTAAGGGCGTCCCCCAACCCAAGCGTGGTAGGGGCCTGTCACTTAATTGAGGGCTATTCGGTTCTCCAGGTTGAAGACGGTTTAGGGTTTAGGGTTTGGGGTTTGGGGTTTAGGGTTTAGGGTTTAGGGATTTCGGTTTGAAGTGTTGTCTTCCTCCAACGCCCTTCTTAAACCCACACCCTCGAACATCTCGCAGGCATGGACATGCATCGGTTTTTGGGACTCAGATGAAACGTGGAAGGCTCGTGGGTGGTTCTAAGTAGGGTTACAAGTGCCCTACATAAGGACACAACCAGTCACATCTCCGGCTAGCCTACGTATAACCCTACGCCCCTACGTTCAACTACTCATGAATCTCCAGGAGGCTTTAGGCTCCAGGGGTTGGCAGGTTCTGCCCGGTACTCTGAAGTTGGGACTTGTTTGCTCCTACAGCCCGAGCTTTCAACCCTAAGCTTTCGTCCATTCCTTGCAGGGCCCGAACCCTAAAGCGTACTCACCGTTTATGTAGCCTTGAGCCGCTGAAAAACCATCGAGTCGCTGAACCCTGGGTTGAGTTTAGGGTTTCAGGTCCCAACGTCATCCCAAGGTTGTCTTCGGATGTCATCTTTGGGCCCAAGAAGTTTCCCCCAAGAGTCCTCAGAGCCTTTGAAGGCAAATCCCCAAACCTTCTCTTTGTCTTACGGTTGGTCAGTAGGAAGTGAAGATATAATACAACACTGACCATCATGATGCTTCTTGCTGAAGAGCAAGTGCGTGGCCTCTGCAATGAGCCGATGTTCGTCATTAGCAGCCTCAGCTCTTCCGGCAGTAGGAAAAGGGGCTACAAAAGGCTGGGGGGTGGGGTTTGGGGTGGGGCTGCGGTTTTAGGGTTTTGGGGTATATTTTGGGGTTCGGATTCGATCTAAGGGCCCAAATATTGCGTCCTAGCGCATCTGAAGCAAAGCCATCCCGCAGTCGCACTCGTTTTTCCCGTAGTTCGAAGCGCAGCATTCGTGAATGCTGCAAAACAATTCATATCTAGATGGTCCGTCAGCAAGGCAGCACGGTCACTTCGACAACAACGAGTGGACGATGCTGCTCTCGCCTTGGTGGAGATAGGCGAACGGGCAACGCGGGCGGGCGCCCGATTCGAGCAGTGAGCCTCCGGTGTGCTGGGCATCATTCATCATCTCGGACACACCTGCTGGATTGTAGCCGCCAGCCCAGGCATTCTGTCCGAGACCAGAGTCCGCCTCCCCCGGATCGACATCACTGTACCGGTTGTTGGCACCCTCGTCAAACCAGAATTCCTCATCGTCAACAATGGGGGTCCAGTCTTCTCGAATCATCAAGTCGTTCTCGAATCTGTCATGTCCTAGATGGCAAGGGTGCCCCTACTAAGCTCGCAAAAACATCTAAGCCCTGAAGCCCCACATGCTTTGTGGCCCAACAGCTGCTAGGCTGGAGCTCGCGGGACAAGACGCATGCTTGGCATTTGGATGCATTTTGGCAAAGGCTCGGAAGAAAAGCTCGGTGTCCCCGAACTTCGTCGCACGGAACTTGGTACGCATACTCACGACTCCGATCTTCGTCAGATTCGTCTTGGGCTCTGCCGCTGCATAGATGTGGTAGAGGTGCGTCTTGGCGTTCCTGTGCGGTGAGACTCGCTCCCCCAGTGAGCACTATGGGGAGGGGGGGGGGGGGGTGGCCTACCTCACTGGACAGCATTCTTTGTAGAGCAGGTCCCGTAATACAGTGGGGTGATTGAAGCTGCTCCTGAGATCAGTAGTCTAACTGCTCTTGCAGAGGAAAGGAAAGAGGGTGTAACATCTCTGGGCCAAGAGTCAGGGTGCCCAGCTGCTCTTGAATGTGCTCAAACTTCTCATTCTTGAACTCCGCGAACTTCTCGCGAATAGAGTCCTAGGATGGCACTTAAGACCCTCTGAAACAAACTGTTCCTATATATCCTCTTAAACCCAAAAAGGGAAAACATTAAGTTTCCCAAGGGCCTACCTAGAGTCAATAGGCCGCAGGCACAGCACGAACGGGAACTTCGTGTCCTCAGGGAGCACTCCTGGCTCCTCCGCCCATTGCGACAAGCCGGTGGTGAAGGGGTACCTGCAGCTGCATCTGCGTAGTTAGTAGGAACTACCTTGAATTGGGAGGATATCGCCCATATAAGCTGCAGGCATATGGGAGGTTCCCTAAATCCATATATACATATACATATATACACATATATATATATATACATACATACATACATATATATATATATAGAGAGAGAGAGAGCTGGTGCCCAGAGCTTAGAGAACTCCCAGGTGCTTCGAGGCCGTCCGGAACGACTTGAGGAGCAGCTTCTCGGCAAATCCCTTGTCCCTGAAATCCGACAGCTTGTTGCCTTGGTTGCTGAGTTCATAAACCCCCCCCAAAAAAGTGCACACTGTCAGTTTTATAGGGGTTACAGTATCCCCAAAAAGTGTATAAAGTGTACTCACTCAGCTTCTAAGTTGCACAGCATGTGCTCAAACTGGCTGAAGCCTTTCCTTACAAGGGCACCATCACTCGAAGCGCGCCGCACCCGCGCAGGATGACTATGAATGCTCTACAGGCGCAGCACCCCTAATCAAAAAAAGTTATAAGCGCTGAAAGACAGGCTTCTGGCCACGGAGGGAGTACAGCATGAAGGTGTTCACACTCTCCTCGTTGTCACGGAAGACCTTTAGTGCCGCACCCGGCGCCATCCCGTCCGCCTTGGGAGCACCTGCTGGCCCAATGCGAATGAGCGCATTCCTCAGAACAAGAGTTGGGGTTTAGGGTTTAAGGGTTGGGGTTTAGAGAGTTTATGCTTGAAATTTGGGGCTTGGGGCTTCGGGCTCTAAGAGCCCAAAGAATGTCAAAGGTTGCCTGCCGCGCCCGAGAGTCTCTTGTGTCTCCTTAAAGACACCCGTGTACCCGGCCTCTCTGATGGCATCCTCGTCCCAAACCTGAAGTGCCGGGAATAGAAAGGGTGCCCTGTTCAGTTCGAAGGGGCTTATCAGGGAACCTAAACCCTAAAAAAAGAGCATGAGGACCCACTCTGGGTCCTAGTAATTAAGCATAGGGATATAAGGTGTGCGTTGAGAACCCACACCTTCTGTTGTGTCAGGCAACCAAGGACTAGGCTTGGGTTCTTCAGCTCGGGTAAACAGAAGTATGGGCCTAGCTATCCGGACATATTTTCCTACTCGGCTGGTACTCGTCACTGGCTGCGCAGGATGTTTGAAAAATGACAAGAAGGTGTGCAAGCAAGGGCAAACGGGGACGTAGTGAGAGACCGCTTAAGAATCAAATCCGCCTAGAACGGACATGCGAGGCTAACCCGTTGCAACAGCCCAACAACTGCGAGAAAGTACATCCCTGCCACGTTTCCGCGAGACAAAGCGAGTGAAGCTCCGAAAAAAAGGTGCCGGCATGAGCTCCTAAACTCCTAAACCCTAAACCCTAAATCCTATAAATCCTATAAATCCTATAAACCCTAAACCCTAAACCCTAAACCCTAAACCCTAAACCCTAAACCCTAACCCTAAACCCTAACCCTAAACCCGGAGCACGATGTGGACCATGGAATGCGCATGCGACCTAGGCGTGTGCGCCCTTTGTCATGTCGGGCAATGCCAAAACCTTGGTTTGATGTTGGGATGCTCCCCCTTATACTAACAGCTCCTTAAGAGGTTTAGGGTTTAGGGTTCCTTCATAGGGATTATAGTACCCCTTATTATAACCCCTATTAAGGACTGTTAGTATAACGGGAAACATCCCAAGTTTGATGGATGAAAGCCGAACTTTGCAGGCAGGCCTGCACCTACGTAGGCGAAAGCTGGGCAACCGGCCACATGCGCTGCGCCGCCACCCCATGCTGGAACCCTCAAAGTGGTGCCGCACTGTTCTGTTCTGGAGCTAAATTTTCCGAAGCCCAAAACCGGACTCTCAATGGTTGCTTCTGCATTCCACGAAGATTTCGAGCTTCGGGTTGAGCTAGCTCAGCCAAAATCGCGATTCTCGGCTCTCGCCTTCAGGACACGACTTAAGGCTCTTGGGGCAACTTTAGGCCCTTCACCCCATAACCCTAAGCCCTAAACCCTAAACCCTAAACAACCCATATCGGCACGCAGCAAGCTTGACGCCAGCGATGGAGCCAATGGGGTGGATGGCCTTGATGTGCCCAGGCGGCATGCCAACATCCTCCAGGGCCAGGGGGCGGCGGCTTGCTGGAACCCACCTTTCAAGAAATCCTAGAAAAAAGGGCTGCACCACTCACTTAGGGGCCTTAAGAACAGGGTTTCTGGCATTTATACTTGTATAGGATCAAAAACGCACGGCAGACCGGCAGAACCCCCAAAAGATCGTAAAGGGTCCTGGCGCCACGTAAATGTGGTTGTCAAATCCTCCACGAAGTACCTGCAGTGAAAACTCCATACATCTTGAAACCCTGAAACCTGAACATTGCCGCCAACAAAATGCAAACACAAGCATGCCAGATTCTTCAAAAGTGCAGAGACATCCCACGACTTCTTCCAAACCCTTTAAGAAAGGATTTACGGTTCCAGGGTTCAGGGAACTCGTTCTCCTTCCTGCGCTACTCTGCCTGAGTTTCTCAAAAGCACTTTAAACCCCTTCCAGCCCCCCCTTCCTGCCCTGAACTTCTCCACCCAACCCTAGCACTTCCCCCCCCCCCCCCTTCCCCCCCTCTCCCCCGAGGCGCTTCAGGAGATGGCCCAGGATGGGGATCTCTCCCACCGCGGACATCAGCTTCAGCGGGGCCAAGGCGGAAGGCGCCTCACCCGGCTCGTTGTCGTCCTTGCGCGGACTTTGGGTAGTTTAGGTATTTGGGGGTCTTTGTAAACCCTAAACCCTAAACCCTAAACCCTAAACCCTAAAGCCTAAACCCTAAACCCTAAACCCAGGGTTCAGGGCGTTTGGTGCTCTGGGAAGGAATCGTATGTAAATGGGCCGCTTAACCAGATGGGCAAGATCAAAGCAGATCGCAAGGCGCAGCCAAGTGTCTCTCCACACCTGGAGCTGGCGTTGCTGGGCTTAGTGTTTACGCCTCCCTAAACCCCCAAACCCTAAACCCTAATTAGACCTTAAACACCCTAAACCTACCGTATACTCGGTATAGCCAGTACAAACCCTTAACACGATTCCTAGCCACTCCCCAAAAGGGCCAAGGGCAGGGCAGGGTTTTATAATTTATAAGGCAAGTCGCCCTCTGGTCCATGGCTGGGTCGTGGGGTCACAGGCACACAGACAAACACCAAAGCTGTGTAACCCCTAAGCCCTATAATGTAACGACCTAAATCATCAGAACATGGCTTTGGGGGTTTTTATAGCAATATATATATATATATATCTATTCTTTTTTGAAGGGACCATAAGGGACAACCATTTGTAGCTATTCCGACCCCTGTCTTTAGTGCCCTGAACCCCGCAAAAGCTGTAAGCCGAGCGGCCGAACCCCAGACCTGCGCCATCTTCGACTGCGCCGACCCGGGCTCGGAGTTGCGGCCAGCACTGCTCTGCATTCCTCGTATCAAAAGTAGGTTTGGGGACTTGGGTATTGGGGCCTTTCAGGGTTTAGGGTTTAGGGTTTAGGGTTTAGGGTTTAGGAATTTCGTATCATACTAGGTTTACCAGCATGGGCTATTATACTCCTCAAAAAGACCCTTTATAAGGTTGATGATGGGGATTATAGGGCCTAATAGCCCATCCTGGTAGGGATTTGGATATTAGGGCCTACTAGGGTTTAGGGCTCAGGGTTTAGGGTGTAGGTGCCCTTTCTAGTTCAGGGGTTCAAGGGTTAGTCCCTGCCTAAACTAGGAGCCGTGACTTCTCTTGTGGCTGCAGCTTACCGTACCCCATTTTCCCCATACAGCCATCTCTGGCTTTTGGGGTTTAGGGTTTAGGGTTTTAGGGTTTTAGGGTTTGGGGTTTGGGGTTTAGAAGGTTTAGGCTGTGCCTCTCAGAAGTAAGCGGCGGCCACACTCTCAGAGGAGCCAGTGAAGAAGGACAGATTTCTGATGGCTGGGTATCGGGGGTCCTCCTTGCCCTTCACGCCATAAACCCTAAACCTAAGCATGCGAGCTTGGGCGACATGATGCATTTCGGCCAGCAGCCGGGGGGGGGGGGGGGGGGGGTAGGCTTCATTCGTTTTCCACGAGTCTTTGGGCTCTAGTTGGGCTGGCGGTTCGTCTTGATGTTCTTGTGGGATCCCCTTTCGGGTTGAGGCAAGCCAATTTTCGAAGGCAAGAAGACACCCGGCTTGCCGCGACTGATGTTTATCATGGTATTTCAGCGCGGAACGCAAGTAGTCTCTCGCGCCAAGGGCTTCCAACCCCGGTGAGCGTAGGTCGAGCTGCCCTAAACCAGGTTCCCAAGCCTTGCTTGCAGGTAAGGACTATTCTGGTTGGGCCACCAAGAGCCGTGCCTGTCCCCAAAAGCGATTGCTGACGAGAGTCCCATCTGTGACATCTGCGGAGTGGAGCGCACAGCTGCTGCCGCCGCCAGCAATGTGGCAAGAAGCACAAAGCGCGCCATGAAGCGAAATAGGTTTGACAAAGAAGGAGGGGATTGATTTGAGATCTGACAAAGCTGCTCTTGAGCCGGCAAGAGGTTCGACATCTTCCGGGGACGCGAGCCAACGCTCACAGAACCCGAAAGTATACCCCCAAGCCCTTGTATAAACTCACCCTAAACACCAAAAACAAACCCAAAAGCCCCAACAAGTGCCAACAAAAACCCGACAAACCTTAAAAACCCTTAAAACGCCCCCAAATCCCTGAAAGCACGAAAACCCCGTAAACAGGCCCCAAAACCCCGAAAAGCGTTAAACAACCCTAAAAGCCCCGAAATAGAAACTCCCAAAGCTGCTTGCTGAAAACCCTAGACAAGCCCCAAAAACCCCAACATCCCTAAAAGCCTCAAACCAAAAAACTAGAAAACTCCCACAGCTGCTTGCTGAAAGCCCTAGAAAAGCCCATTAAACCACAAAAGCCCCCACAACCAAAAAAAACCCAAGAATCCCTAAAAACCCTAAAAACCCCCAAAACCCTAAAATCCCTAAAAGCCCGAAAAACCCTAAAAGCACTAAACCAGAAACTCCCACAGCTGCTTGCTGGCCCGCGGAGCGCGCCAAGGCTCTTCGACAAGCTCCGGCTCTCCTGAGAGCTCCCCCCCAAGGCTAGGTTTAGGGTGTGGGGTGTAGGGTTTGGGGTTTGGGGTTTAGGGTTTAGGGTTTAGGGTTTAGGGTGGGTTTCGGGTTCAGGGTTTAACAGGCCCGCAACAACAACCTTATGAACGTACCATCTTGACTTAGAAACCGTACCATCATGAGTCTTTCTACGACTCCTTACCTCTATCTTCCAGTTCACTGGTCCTGTTGTTCACCCATCACACCTTGAGACCCAACCTCTGTTTCCAAGCCACTAAGAACCCACCCTCGGGACCCCAACCGCAGGACTTACTATATAATATTAATTGCCCACGGGTACACATCTCTAGCCCACAGTATTAATAGCTTAATAGCCGCTTCTTGGAATCTCTTCGCTGGGTCACTTACCTCTATCTCCAGAACACCTATATTATGAGGATAACCGCATGAACAAAGAGAACGAAGCCAATTGCAAAGACGTGAATATATGAACGAATGCGCGAATGGAATGAGAGAACGCGGTAAGCACGCCATTTTTACATGCACAAAAGGAATGACTTCGTGAGCAAGTAAATTCATGCTTCTCGGGAGAAGGTTTAGAGTTTAGGGGGTTCGGGGATAGGGTTTTTTGGGAAGCATCGAAACTTCCCACAGATCACATTCTGTGAAAGCCTTCAACTGAGAGGTCCGTTTGCCGAAGGTTCTAGGGGCCATGCCACTGATTCAGCTAGGTTGCCCAGTAACCTAGGATTAAAAAGGGTGCCCTTTTTTGCTTAAAGGGGTTTATAGGGGAACCTAGAGCCCCCAAAAAGGGAATAAGGGCACTACTGGGCATCCTAGTCAGGGATAGTTCAGACAGCTTAGGGCCCTTCAACCTCACATCGGTATCAGTCAGGCGACGTAGCAGATGTCAATGGCCTGGCCATGGTCAGGATTCCCACAAGCAGGGTTTAGGGTTTAGGGTGTAGGGTTTGGGGTTTAGGGTTTAGCTCTGAACACTTGTTCGACTTTGCATCCTCATAAGCCCGATAGGGGCGAACTCGGGCCTATTGAAGCTCTCAGCGCGAAACTGACAACCCAAAACACCAGACCCTCAATTCTCAACGCCGCCTCCCAAAACATGCTTAACACACGAAAACACCCCCGCCCCCCCAAGTTTATCCCGCTCCCCAGTTGCGAACACAATGCTCGCATGATGGGTTCTTTGTATCTTCGAAGTTTTGCACGGCTTAAAATGCCCGCAGGATGGGTTGGATAGGGATTCCTCTGGTCTTGGAAGCAAGCGCCCAAGCCAAGGCCGAGCCAAGCCCAAGCCAAGAGTCAAATGCAAGAGGACAAGGCCGAGCCCGCATCTTTGCAAAAAAATCCCCCCCCCAATAGCTTAAACCTAAAACCCTACTTGAAGGCATAGATACCAAACCCTGCAACCCTACACCCGAAAGGCCAAAACCCAAGACTAAAATCGAAGGAAAACCCCCGAAGCTACAGCCCTTAAACAAAACCTCAAGCACTTTAAGCAGAAACCCTAAACCCAAAACCCAAAACCCTAAACCCTAAACCCTAACACATCCCCAAAACCTCGGATTCCACGACCGGAGCACCTCGTCGAAGGCCTTGGTGGCCTCGGCGAGCTCCGCACGGTGGCTGCGCGCCAAACCTTGTAGGGTTTAGGGTTTAGGGTTTAGGGTTTAGGGTTAGGGTTTAGGGTTTAGGGTTTAGGGTTTAGGGTTTAGGGTTTAGGGTTTAGGGTTTAGGGTTTAGGGTTTAGGGTTTAGGGTTTAGGGTTTAGGGTTTAGGGTTTAGGGTTTAGGGTTTAGGGTTTAGGGTTTAGTGTTGAGGGTTTAGGGTTTAGGGTTTAGGGTTTAGGGTTTAGGGTTTGGGGTTTAGGGTTTAGGGTTTAGGGTTTAGGGTTTAGGGTTTAGGGTTTAGGGTTTAGGGTTTAGGGTTTAGGGTTTAGGGTTTAGGGTTTAGGGTTTAGGGTTTAGGGTTTAGGGTTTAGGGTTTAGGGCCTCCAGGGCTGTAGGGGCCTAGAGGCCGTTAGAAGCCGTAGAAGCCTGACAAAAACACCCTATTGCAAACTTGGGGGTCAAGAGCTTGGTCCTTAGTCTTTGCAGTTTCATTGAGCTTGGGTTTCGGGTTTAGGGCCTAGGGGTTTGGAGTTTGAGGGGTCGGTTTTTTTGGGGCTCAAGTCTTTTCTGAAGGATGTTGAAGCTGGAGGTAGACTCTACGCATTTTCGAGAGCTCATGGCACTAAGGACTTGCAACCTCCGAGCCGTTACAAGAGCTGCGTGGGGGTCGTGGGCAGAAGCGAAGTGTTGAGACAAAGATGACTTTCGGTTCCTTGCAGCTACCCTGAGGATATAGTATCAGGCAGTTTCATATTCTACGAGTAGCTTAGGGCCCCATAGCAGCCTGCCACACAGGGCAAGAGTCGCGTCCTGAATCAGAAAAACCCTGAACCCTAAACCCTAAACTGCAAGCCCTAAATCCTAAACCCCTAAACCAACTACAGAAATGCCATGCTAAGCTGCCAATGTTGCGAAACAGCTCGCCGCCGCCCACGGTCCCTGAGCGCGCAGTTCTCTTTGCGTCTCGCGTT